ATTACAAATAAAAATTAGCAGTTTATACAAGTTTTGCTTCTTCAGGTTTAGTATTAATGAAAATTTATTTGTCTGATCACTTTCTAAGATGTTTTTCGCTGTTTCTTGGAGTGACTAGATTCAAATGTGAACACATTTTTTTTGAAGCAACTCATTTGCGGGAATCTGAGTTGCTAATTGAAGAATTAAAAAGGGGGTTAGTTGGCAGAGGTTAATGGGCTTAAAAATACACTTGCTTCTTATCATAATGGATTCTTCTCTCAATGTTGTGGTTTGTATTTTATTGGATATTTTAGACAGTAGTAGGAGTAGTTCAGTCTCAACAATTTCTGAAGTCGCAAATGGGTCGGAAGCAAGAGATACCGCTTTAAATGCCACTAGTGCAGAGTCTTCAAGTAATAAGGTGTGCCATTTAATTTTTCATTTACATCACTTTTCATCTAATTTCTTCCGTTTTCTCACAAAAGTACTGGAAATTCAGAATTTTTTCTGTCTTTTTTCATTTAGAAACTCTGTCTCGAATTGTTTTTTTATCCCAAATATTTAATTTTTTTTTTTATACGGAGTTGCATGCTCAATTTTTGGACCTTATTTCAGCATTGTTTGCAGAGTAGTGCTCTTTCTTCTAAGGTTAATGGAGTGTTACAAAATGACTCTTCGCTTACTCCCGTAATAACGTTACAGAGGAGTGGTTTAAATGCCAATGTTATTAAATCAATTTCAAAAGGTCACGACGGCCATTCCACTCTGGTTTATTTTTCAGGCTCTGCTGGTAAGTACTTTTATTACGCGATTGCTAAATAGTGAATTACTTTTATTGTCGTGGAAGGATTCTGGAAGTTTTTCACGCCCATACAGTTCAAATAACTTTTAGGTCAGAAGCCCGATGTTGCCGCCAAAACTTCTAAAGTTGATGACGGCAAATGTGCGCCTGTACAAACGAATGACTCTGCGTCTAGTTCTAACATAGCTGTCGGAGTAAGTGCCCTCTTTTGTTATATTTTTGTTGGCTATTCCTTATTAGAAGATTAAAGTAATTTAAAAAATTATGAAACGTTTTTTAATTTTCAATCTCGTCTTGCGAAACCTTTCTAAGCTCTTTTTTTTTCTTCTTATTATAATTGAATTCGGTGAAACTTTTATTTCTTTTGGTTTTTTATTGGGCAAATTGTTTAGGCCGGGAGCTCGGCAGAGCGAGACGGAGTCGGTTCACCGTCGCTATGTAATGGTAATTTTTTAACTTGTACACATTGAAAATTTGTTTTTAGTAATATTTTTTAAGCCGAGTAATACTGGTCTATCTTTGAAAGAACTTTTAAAATGGATTAGAGGGAATATGGGGTTTTTTTATTAAATTACGTATATTTCCGTAGTAATAACCACTGATTCTCAATTTTTTGCAGGTTCAGCAGTAGGCTCCAGTCCTGCTGTTGCCAAACATGAAACTGGTCAGGGTCCTAGCTCAGGTATATACAATCCAATCTCAGCTGAGGAGATTTTTTTTCTCCTTAGGCAACACCTTTATCCTGATTGCGAAACAGAAGTTATTTTGTCTCCACATGCTTCCGTTTTTTCCGATGAAGATATAGGGGATTCGGCTAGACGCCCGCATTTTATTTTCTGCGAACCTCAGGCAAAAGGTATTCGTAGCTGTTTTTATTCTTAACTTTATTTCTCATTTACACTAATCTCTTGATTTTATTTGAATTACCAGTTTTTAGTGGAGCACTTGTGCGCATATGTGATGCGGCGCACCGCAATAGCTATGAAAGGGAAGATTCTTAAAAAGGTATTTTATCGTTACCCTATCAATTGAGACCCAAATCTTTCTAAATTAATGGCTTTGACTTTTTGCTTCTGCTGCTTTTGATAATTATTGTTTGCTAGTTATTGATCAATAATTTCTGTTGTTTTTAGAAAGTTGAGATTTGTCCTGTAAAGATGGAGGTTTCTGTTAAGGATGTTTTTGTTATGAAATTAGCTGGAGAAGATAAATACAGTACTGTCGAAATTTGTCCTCCTGCACAGGCTGACTCCGTTCGTCTGTTCAGTACTCAGTACCCATTCAGGGGTTAGTTCATGGGGTTTTTTTTGTATTAATTGTGAAGTGTTCGCAAAGATTTAAATGGTTAAATTCAAGAATTGATGAATTTTGATTTTCGATGAGCTTTAAACTGTTCATTCGTTTCTTTCGTTGTTTCCAGCATTGGAAGAAGAAAGAACTGTCGAGAGTTTGAAGGAAGAGTACGCAGGCGAGAAGATAAAACCATTACGGCTAGTTTACAGATTTGTAAGCGACGGAGTGTAATAATCTCTCATAGATACTTTATGTCCGTTTTCTGATTCTTGTAACTGAGTTCAAAATTTTTTGGCTTGGTAAAATCTAGTCGGGTACATCTGTTGGATGACTTTATACTAATCCATCTTAGTTAGTAAGTCAGGTCTTCGTCAACGACTAGGTATTTTTATAACAGAGGGCGTAAAATCTTGGAATATATTTCAAACAACATTATTTGCATTACTCTTCTTTAGGCACCTTCTTTGTTTTGAAGGTAAAAACCGTTGATTGTTATGATTTTTCCTTTGTTGCGAAAACTGTTATTAAATTTGTTTTGAACTCGTTGACAGTGTTAGCGCCGCCTGTATCTTTGTCCTTATTAACTTTTTCCTGTAAATTTGTTCTAAAATCAGTTAGCGTGGAGAACTGTTATTTAGCCTGTAGAACAGATTGAATTGTCTTTGGGCTGAATTCTGTGATGGTTTAGTTGCTGCAGTCCTGACGATTATTTATGGGTCTAACTTTAAAGTTGAATTTGTAAATTTTTTATTTTGACAGTTTTAGGAATTAATTGACATTTTTTGAGGATGTAGGCCGTTGAATTAATTTTTATAGTTTTATTGATTTCTGTGATTGCGGCTGTTAGTTATGCCTTTTCAATTTGTAAATACTTGGATAATTTTGTAAGACGGATACGTCCAAGATCGTTTTAGCATTCACTGAAAATAATTTAGTGGAATTTTTCCCTTCAGATAGTTTTTTTTTTTCTCATTCTTGGATATATATCTGCTGTTTTATCTATAAGTGGAATTTCTGACTTTTATTGACAATCGTTTACGAACTTTGAAATGCTTAGTTTGACTATGATTGTCGCTAAATGTGCTTGCTGGAAGATTTTTTCTCATAACACTTGCATTTGGAGTTGTTATATGATGATGGGTTTTAAGTGTTTACATTTATATGCACATTTGATGATTGCATTCCATAAATTTTTACACTTTTTACGAAAAGGACTAATTCGGACAGTGTTCTTTTTTCAAAATGCACCAAGTTTTTTGCAAGGAAGAAGTTCGGAGAAGGTACGAGCAAAGATAGGAAACAATTAAAGACGAGGATTTAATTCATTTGAGTTTTATTTTTTTTTAGGCACTTCAAATTCAGAAGGGAATGTTCCTAGGTTTTCTGTAGTATTGTTTTTTGTAATTTCCAGTTGTTCTGTACCTGTGGCTCCAAAGAGTTACAATAATACAGTGTAAATAAAATTTGGAGATGTAATTTTTGCGACTGTCTAGGTTCTTGGTGCAGGTAATTAGCCTTTTGCTGACACTGCTAAAGCAATAGTTTTTGAACAGAATGCTAGGGTTAAAGAACTCTCCAGACATTTTCAAAACTTAACAGTTTTTATTGGTAAATTGGTAAGGTGAAGAACCATTCTGACGCAGTTGTTTCTAAATTTGCAAGCTTTTAAGGCTTGATTTTGTAGCAGAAAGAAGTTCTAGGAACTTAGGTAGTGAAGTTTTGACTCTCTGCATAGACAAACCTTGGGTGTTCAGGGTTACAGGAAGAAGCGGAAACAGAAAATTTCTTGTGTCGGCATAGCTTTGCTGCGACAATATTTTTAGGCAAAAAAACTTGCAGCTAAGCAATGGTTCTTACGGAAAGTGCATCCAGACTTCGACAAGTTGTAATTGAGCCGCTTAGTTTTGAATTGTTACTTAGCATTCACTTCTTACAGACCTTATGTTTTGTAAATTATTCCCTTGCGTTTAGCGGCTGAACTAGAAGCATGCAGGAAATATCGAAACATGTGGTCATTTTTTATATTTTCCAAACTTCGTAAAGTTTTTTCCTACTTTTTATGCTGCCACAAGATCTTAGCTTTTCTTTTTTTTGAACAGAATAGCTTAAAAATTTAAGTGTTAAGCTCTTCACACCTTATTTTCTTTAAATTAACAGTTCTGCAGCCAAAATACAAACTACAAAATACAGCAACAAACTCCATTTGACTCTTGCCATACTAGATACTAGACAAGTGATAGATGTTCTCGGTTTTGAAAACATCAGTGATTAACCATGATAATTAGAAAAAAAAAAAAGATGGCTAGCAGTGGTTAATTCCCATTCTATGCCTCGTTTGCTGCATTTGTTGGTGGAAATTTTTACGGTAGTGTACAACTTTTTTATAGACAGTCTTCTTGTTCTCAGCCGTTTTACGCTGAATCGACCTCAAAAACTGCTCAACTTAAAGTGACTTTACTTATAATGATTTACTGATAAGATATAGTTCAAGGTTTTGATAAACTGTACTTTGTTGACACCTCATACGTATTGAATTCTGAAAATTTACAATAAGGCAAAATTATTTCGTGGTTCTGGTTTCTACCTGTACAGCCATATCACTTTTACTCAAACGAGAATTTTGAAGACATTAGAAACTTATTTATTACTGGAGCAACCTGATGGTTTTCAAATTGAAAATCTTCTTTAGAAAGGACTTCTTGGAGAAGTTTATCCGGCTCAGACAAAAACTGCTACTATAATTCGGGAATTTAGGTCCCACGTCAGGTTGTCCTAGATAATGCGTAGAAAGATAATGAATTTCTTAAACTCCAGCCGTTTTGAATCTTTTTAAGACAAATTAATCTAGTTTTGAACTGTCCATCAAAATAGCTATAGGTCGGTCTTGTATTGTTAAAAGACGAAAGTGTAGACTTTGACAGATGACGATGTGCTGCAGAGAAACGATATGATGTTCAAAATTCCTTATCAAAGTTAGAACAGTGTGATCAAAAGGTACGCGGGATAGGGGATTAGATCGTTTCTGCTAACTGTAGACTGTAAAGTCTAAATTAGTCCTTTCACCTGAAGAAATCTAGATAAGCAGCACGCCTGAATGTATGATGACGGCACACGCTACCTGAAAAAGGTTTTTGAGCACTATAACTACAGAAGCACGTAATTTAAGTGTCGACCAACGGAGCGGCATTGGTTCTGTGGCTGATTGTATGAGTTGCTATTGTAAATTTTTTGAGTGAATTGGTTTCAGGGGAGAGGGAGAAGAATGTTCTTAGTGTTAGTGACAGAAGTTCAGACGTGCCTTTACCATTCAAGTTTAAAAAGCTGCCTACAACTGAGCTCAGTGATGATAGGGGATCATGCTTAATACAACTTTAGAATGCTAAGTTGAACATTTCAACTTGCTCAACAAATCCGTCAGTCGTCATTTTGCACTCAAAAATTCAGTTTAAAATCAATATTATCCTTCAGAACGAATCAACTGTTTGGTCTCTAAAGACATAGGGACTTTGTTAGAACATTTATCGTGTTGCTACAAAACTACCTTTCTTTGAATTTTTCCCTACATATTCTAAAGGATCCTTAATTCAGTACAAACTCTACTGTAATCCACAATTAGCCGCCTTGAAGTCAGAATGCTGATTGGGCATCATGACGGCCTTATTACAACTGTGTTGACAGAAATTTCCTGTGGGGATTATCAACAATGAGTTGACGAATAAATTGTGGCAGTCGACAACTGTATACTGAGGAAACTTTTTGGCAACTGTGATTCTAAACTTATTAGTTCCAGTGTTATTTTAGGGAGTGGTGAGTGCTGTTGTATTTCGTCATTCCTTTATTTCCAGTGTATACCTCGACTTATATATTTAAAAGAATCATTGAGTACATACTCCCCTTAACTAGTAGAGATAAAGTTAAAATAAGAAATGATTTTTGCTGAAATTTTTGCTGGTTTACTTCCGTGCACATCTGATGTGTCAAATTCACCACTATTACCTTTAAAACATTGTGAGTGATGCAAGTGAAATCAAATCCAAACAAATCAGTTCATTATTTTAAAGTAAAAAACCATATAAACGGTCATCTTAAACTCAAACCAAAGAAGCTTGTAGCTGCCGACAGCGCACATCGTGCAGTCACACAAAATCGACAGTATAAGACACAGAACTAGATTGGGCAAAACCGTCTAATCGTTGAGCTTCCAGGGTGGACATTAACTCGGCAAACAGTCATGTCTCCCTATAACCGTTGACCCAAGCTTAGCTAGGTGGTCTTCTGGCTAGCCTCCAGGGGCTTTTGCACGAAGACAGACCAGAGATCATATTTTCGGAGTTCAAATATCCTTTGGCATAGTGTCGTGACAAATAGCTAGAACCAGGATCATTACCATAGCGACAACGTGGGCTTCAGCACTGTTTTTGAATTCTGATTGTACTGTTGGGTATTTTGTGAATTCAGTATGCACTGTCCAAGTTCCAATGCTTTTTCTTTTTAAAATATTTTTGCCATTATATAGCTTAAAAAATGAATTGCTGGTAAATGTTGTACATTGAGTAGATATAATGATTCTTTGTTATATTTTTTGGTGGTCATATTTTGGCACTTGGAAACTAGTCGTTTTGTAGATGATCAATTTTTGTTTTGTAGAAATCTTTTGCTCTTTTTTTTTAACTTTAGTAACTATAGCTTTTGTGAGTGGAAATGTATATTTAATGATTGTCCAGTTAATTGTTCGTTTAATTTTATAATAATGTTATTGAAGAGATCCAATAAATTCTGAACGACATTACTAGTAGTGTATATTTTAAGGTGAAAAGAAAAAATGACTGAAAAAACAGATGCAGAATGCGAAGAAGCCTTGCGGTCTTTTGCTCGAATAACTGGTACCGATGAAGCCTGCGCACATTTTTTTCTCCAGGATGTGAATTGGAATTTGCAGGTAATTTGAAAATTGAGGATGATTATTTATTATCAGCTAACTGGTCAACCTGTTAAGATGGTGTTGTTGAGTTGAAGCAAGCGATATAAAGTTTCACGAAGGATTTATAATTTTTATGTGAGATATCAGTTTCAGTCGAGTAACTTTGTCAGCTAAGGAGAATCAATATTTGTCCTTTTCAAGGTTTTTTTCAAGGAAGTTTCTAATTCTTGGTGGTCGGTTCATCGTAAACTTGATTAAAACTCTTGAGAGCAGCAGTGCTTTTAGAATTTTTAAAGATAATGCATTAAGGGCAATTAGGTCTGCCGTCGATTGCACGGTTGCTAATTATTTAGTCATTGATTTTCCTTCGATAAAGGGTTGCTCCAGGGCACAACCATCCTTGTCCATAATTATTTTACGATTTGTTTAGGACGCTTTAGATGCTTTTCATGAAGCCGCTAAGGACATTCCCGAAATGAAGAACAGTCTCCCCAAGAATCCAAGCACCTCTACGGGCCCCAGCTCCTCGCAAGCAAAGAGTACAGCATCGACCTTTACTCTTATGTCGTGGAATGTTGACGGTCTTGACAGTGCCAATTTAAAAACCCGATTTACTGCAGTGTGTTACATAATTTCACAGTCAGTTATCTTCATTAAATTTTATTACAGTTATGGGTTTTTTTTTAAAGTTTTTTTCAAGCTTAATTCTTTTTATTGCCATTTGAATGCCTTTCTGAAAATGCTAGAAATCTTTTCAGACCACTGATAGCTTTGAAGTTCTCATATTTCTGTAAGTTGCGAAATATTGGCATCTTTGTTTCGTTATAATACTTTTAGCATGTCATCATTTTCAGTACAGTTTTTTTTTTTT